GGCTTACGCTTCCCTTGCGGGGGTCATAATAATGTAATTAAATATAAAGAGCATAATATTCAGAAAACAAGTCAGCTGATGGACAATATACAAGAAGATCTATATTTTTATTTGTAGCCAACATTTAGAAAAACTTGGACAAATGGTGGTGATTAGTTAAAAAGGTGATTATTGAAAATGTTGGTAAATAAAAGGTCTTTAGTAATTATTATCAGTTTGTTGACTGAGGGATTGAATCAGCAGACCTGAGTTATAAAAAGGAAAAATACACCAAAGCACTAATCAAAATGAAAATAAATAAAAACTAAATGAATTTTACAATTAGAAGTAATCTGAATGAACCCCCTACTGTGTCAGAATAAACAATGTTTCAAAGCATTTTAAATTGTTCCAACTTTAATGACATTTACTTCCTGTTTCAGTCACAATCAGAACTAAAGCAAAACCGATAAAACAGCCTCAGGATCTAATACTTCAGCTCCAGTCAGAGCAGCTGACAGCTGAAACCACCACAGCTCAGACTGSTTTTACTTACAGGAAGGCAAACTTACTAAGAAGTGGAAACAAAAACAGAAAGATTCATTTGAGCAGAACAATCACCAGATAAACGAGTAAAACTGAACTCACCTGGAGACGACGACGACGACGACGATGATGATGGACTCTGTCAGGTCCTGCTGGGTGAAGTCTTTTTTCGTTCCGACGCAGCTACGGCATGTTTCATTCCTCTTCCTTTACAGGCTGGGAAACGGCGCCACCTGCTGCTCAGGTGTGTTCTCAACAGATCAGCTGCAGAACAAAATCCTCCGAACAAGATGGACGTCACGCGTCTCAAATGTTCCCAACAGACAAAAACATCGACTGTCGCACGCTGTTACAGTCAATCTAACAATTAACATCGAAATATTTCTATTTTCTTAACAAAACATGTTAATAAAAAGTGATTTACTCAACTTTTCAAAACAGGTAATATAAATTATTCTGCATCGTTCAGACACAAACTGTTACTGCTAACTCCTACATGATAAGACTAACAGCTCAGTATAAGAGAAACAATGAAAACAGTGATTTTATCAGTTCGTTTTCATGCTGACTGCACTTTCTGTTGCCTTTCACAACAAAACATGGAAGACATCCAACGAAAAATGTTAACGAGGAAAAAAAAAAGAGATGTTCTTTTGTAAACCAATAAAAAATTTCCTTTCATTATCATGAAAAAATAAAGTCAACACAAAAACATTTGTCAATTTTTTTTAACAAAAAAGAAAAGTTCTGCAGCATTTTTGCAAAGAACAGAAAAAATGTCAACAAATATTCAAAAACAGCGTATTGTTTTCTTTGTAGAACTGCTGTCATAACACTCAGAGAAACCAAACAACTGTTACATCTCAGTTTTTATGTGCTGAGATCAAGAGTTAATGTTAAAATAATCATAATTAATCCACAGTTGTGTTTTTAAGTTTACATAAACCACAGTGAACATGAGAGTTAGGGTTTATTTCAATACAAACTCAAACCTAAGTCCCAACATCATCATTTTGATTTAAATATTGGACCTGCTGAAGAACTCCTTCAGAAACTGAATCTGAAGATTTCACTGAACCCAGACGTCTAATAAAAACTGGACCTGTTCAGGAACTCAACTTTACATTCATGTTGTTAGACTTACAGGTAGAGTCTGAGACCTCCTGGTCCTTGTTAGACTTACAGGTAGAGTCTGAGACCTCCTGGTCCTTGTTAGACTTACAGGTAGAGTCTGAGGCCTCCTGGTCCTTGTTAGACTTACAGGGACAGTTTAAGGCCTCCTGGTCCTTGTTAGACTTACAGGTAGAGTTTGAGGCCTCCTGGTCCTTGTTAGACTTACAGGTAGAGTTTGAGGCCTCCTGGTCCTTGTTAGACTTACAGGTAGAGTTTGAGGCCTCCTGGTCCTTGTTAGAC